CCCATGACCTATGACCCGCCCCATGACCTATGACCCGGTCCATGAGGCGTCTATGTGTTCATGTCTAAGTTTCTGCAGAGCTGAACCCTCTGACCAATCAGACCCCTGACCTCTGACCCCCACAGAGAATAGCAGGCTGACCATGAGCTGAACTCTGGTTTCCAGGAAGCAAAAGCTGAAAAGCTTTGAAATGTTCTCTGATTTCTGAAGAGAGTCGATATGTGTGTGTGTGTGTTCAGGTGTGTGTGTCATGACATCATCAGCAAGGGTTAGGGATGATTGATTTCACAACACTCAACATGGACACACACCACATGTCAAGGCTAATCTATGCTAATCTAATGAGAGGCAACACAAAGCTGTTAGCTGCAAGGAAGGAGACACTCTGGGTCTGTGTGTGTTTCTCTGTGTATTGTATGTGTGTGTGCAGTGATGCAGGGTTAATAGAATTAGCTGCTTGTAATAAACCCGTCTGATCAAATGATCATTGCTCACACACACGCCATAAGAGAAACACACACACACCATAAGAGAAACACACAACACACACACACCATAAGAGAAACACACACACCATAACACACCCGCTGCGTCGTCCCGGTGATGTGAAACATGCTGCTGGTGTCCAGTTAAAGGAAGATGCCACCAGTGGTAACAGATCTGTTTAAACTGGTTCCTGAGAAATGGAAGACTGGTGGTTCTGATCTGGTTCTGCTGTGGTTCTGATCCATCAGGACACTGGTTCTCTGATGGAGCCAAAGTTTGTTTCAGAACCAGATTTCTCATCAGAACTGCCGGGTTGTCCAGGATCAGCCTGAACCCTCTCAGTTACCAAACGGTAACTGCTCGCCATGGAAACGACCCCTGACCCCTGACCCCAGTTCTGTCCAGTCGCTACAAACTTCACAGCGCTCTCAGCAAATATCAGGTTTAAAGATGGAGTTTGATTATTGATCAACACTTTTTATTTCTTTATCAGTTCAATGAATTTATATTTTAATGAAAATTATAGTTTCTATAAAACACATCAGCTCTGGTAGGGAAGAGTTTCAGGCAGGAAACACTCAGCTGTCGTTAGGGTCAAAGGTCAAACAGGTTACTTACAGGTAGTAAGTGTAGGAGTGATAATTTCTTCGTCTGAATGGTGGGGGCGAAGCAGAGGGATGAAATGGAGGGAAAGAAAAAGAAAAACAGAAAAAGGAAAAACAAGATTAATGTCTGGAAGAAAAAGCAACAGAAAAACAGATGAGTTCACGTATCAGAGGATTGATTGGCTGGTGGTGGGGGCGGCGATGCCGATTGGCTGGTGATGGTGGTGGGGGCGGGGTTAGGTTTCATGTGTGAGATGGAAACACAGAGTCTGAAAGAGCTAACTTGGATCTGAACAGAAAACCAGCAGCTGAAGGAACAACCTGACGATGTAATCATCTGGAGCCAGAGGAGTTCCTCTGGGCTCTGTCCTCTACCACAACCAGTTCTCCCAGTCCTCCCAACACCTGAAACCCTTCCTCCACTAGACATCCCAAAAAAACTTTCAGAAGATTCTTTGTCCAAAAAATAGCTTTGTTTTCAAAATGTTCCCTGGTTCGCTGTTGGGTCCCAGTCAGTCCAGATGCTGACTGGGCCCCTCTTGTTCCTCAGGCACTACGCTGCCATAACAGATGCATGAATCAGCCCATAGCATGACGCATCCTCCTTACACTTACACTAATCTGCAAACAGCAGAGCTGAGTTTCTACATTAGCGGTACAGCTAGCTTTGAAAACATTTAGCGTACTTAGCTTTGCCTAAATTAATTTTCCAGATAAATTCCAAAGCGCTAATTTACTTGCCTGTTTTGTAAACTTTCAGTTGAATAAAGTTCAACATTTATGTTGAAGTTTTATTTATCAACTGTTTACAATTCTTTGAGTGGAGGAACCCGGTCCGGGATTGGGACCAGATGGGGCCCAGTCCGGGACAGAGACATCCTGTGAAACTGCAGTGATTCCACTCAAATGAAAACGTTTCTTCATTATTTGACTGTTAGCAACGACTCTGACTGTTAGCGATATCTCTGACATGTCATCATCCGGTTTATGAAGCCGTTTGTGTTTCTGAACACTTCATTTCTCCAAACATCCCAAATGGACAGATTTCAAGAGTAAACATCAGATCTGTGCCTCAGACTCTTCCTTTCATCATTTTCTCCACTTATCTGTTTGCTTGTTGCTGATTTATTGAAACAGGCGCTCTCAGATAAATCTGCAGTTGTGTGAAGGAGACGAAAGGCCATTTCCAAAAGCTCGCCATCGACATGACAGAGTCCGCTAACGAGGGCCGGATGTTTTCATGTCAGGAGAGTCTCCTCTCCCTGCAGCACGCAGCCTCCTGCTAATGAGTCTAACCTCCGTTTGGTCACAGAGTGGAAATCAAACGCACCCTGTCAACATTAAAAACCTCATTAGAGACCAAACAAGCGCCTCTCGTTTCTGTGTCTCTGTAACATCAGGAACACAGATCAGAGCTCGATAGACCCGACAGGCGGACCGAACTCACATTGTACCCACCCACACACACACACACACCTACACACACACACACACAGATGTGCGTTTCTAGCCTGCAGCCATTCAGCTTGAGGCGACCAAGAAAAAAAGAATAAAACGTTCTTTCATCTAAATTTCTCTCTCATCTCCAAAGTTCTCCAAAACCTGACACTTTTCTGTGTGTGTGTGTGTGTGTGTGTGTGTGTGTGTGTGTGTGTGTGTCCCGGCGGGGCTGTGTGTTTGATGTTGGAGACTAAAGTCAGTCCAGATACAGTTTAATGGTGATTAGTGCAATCTGTTCCATTATTCCTCCTCTTCCTCACTGTCACCGATAGGGGGGTACTGTCAGTGGGGGGGTTACTGTCAGTGGGGGTACTGTAGGTTGGGGGGTTTCTGTAAGTTGGGGGTAATTTCAGTGTGGGGGTACTGTCAGTCGGGGCTACTGTAGCAGTCAGACGGCTATGGATTTCAATGTAAAACCAGTGACTTGTTAGCATTGTAGCGTTGTTGCCAAAGAGAAGCAGCTTCCTGCTTTCTTCTCACTGAGTCAGTTCCTCTGATTCCTCTGAACTGTTTAGACTCACGTTGTACCCACACATATCTAAATACTTGCTTGTTTCTCCGCAGAAACAAGCAAGTCATGTTCATGTTGAAGATTTGCTATCTAAGTTGGATTCTGACCTTTTCTTCATCAGAAGGATGACTCCTAGGAAGATGATGATGAAGAGGAGGATGCCAGCGATGGACCCAGCAATCTTCACCGTGTGGTCCGTCTGTTTCTCCTGCTCTGGTTCTGGCTTCCTGGTTGCAGTTCCTGAAAACAGTGACTAGCATTTACTGACTTCAACTTGTTCATTCCTCAACGACTGACTGCAAAATACATTTTGCACTTTGAGAATCTTGGAGTGCTAAAAATTTACATTTATTCTCTCCTGGTACTGCGTAGATGTCTTTATATTCTTTTTGGATACAATTTTTCAGTCTGTTCATGTTGCTCTATCGTCTGTAACATTTTCTTGGTTGTGACGGTACATTTGCTGTGGAACTGCTAAACAAGGTCATCATTTTTGTGAATCTGTCATTTTTGTCATCGCAGTGATTTTGTACATCACTGCGATGCGTTTGTGCGAATGCTCGGTTCTGCAGGTTCTTCGTTCTGGTCTGGGTCAGACTCTGGCTCCAACAGGGACGGTTGGATGGACGGGTCTTCCTTTGTTCACATCTTTAATAAACTTTGGAATAAAACGTTTCTCTGCTGGTAGATAATCGTATCACTGCTACCAAACCACAAAAATGACCGAAGAGGGTGGAGCGCAGTGTGTGACCTGCAGGGGGCGTCGCGTGAAACGTCTTAACATTTGAAAAGACGAGTTTCTGTGAACATCTCAGACCAAGAGGATGATGGGAAAAGCATTTAAAGCATGATGTGTTAACTTTAACTGACTAACTGGTTAAGTTCCTAAAACCCTAATCAACATTTGCTAACAATAGTTAGCAGTTAAACAACTAACCAGCAGCAAGTTCCTCAACAACACATTACAAGTTAAAAGCTCCAACTAAAAGTCAACCATTCAACCAGTTATAACCAGCTATTCATTCAGCTACACTTACCATGACCTTAACTAGCAGTAACTCATTTCCCTCACAGATTAAATAATTGTAATTAGTCGACAACTGAGACCACTGATGATCAAATGTATTAAAATATAAACATTAATGAGCATCAACTAAACAACTAACCAACTAACTGACTAACCAATCGATTAACCCTAACCCTGATAACTAACCAACTGTGATAGAACTTTAACTTAAGGCCTTTTAGACAGTAAACACTTTGAGCTAATGCTAATCCTGCAGCCACTAACCAGTAGGTTAGTAATGATCAACCATGTTAATTAGCAGTGAGGTTCCACCGCTGGAGAACCGGGTCGGTTCTGGTGGACTCACATAGCTTCCTGAAACAATGAGCTGCTTTCCTTTTAGTTCCCAAGGTCAGACAAGATCCTCAGTTTGATCACACACAGGAACACACACACAGGAACACACACAGGAACACACACACAGTAACACACACA